CGTGGACATGGTTTGAGCCAGTGTGAGTACGGAGATGATCATAACCATAATGTTCACGAGCGCTACGAGCATTACCACCATTATGGTCAACACTGGCCACGTTCATCACAAACATTGGCAACACCATCCCCACTACCACCACCATGCGCATCGTCATATACATGAGGGTTCTTCTCTATTTCGCGCCAATCTGAACAAATAGTGTGTGGCGTGCCTGTGTAACAGCTTCGCGCAGCCTGGTCACATCCTCCCAGTATTGTTACATGCGGGGCGGCGACAGAGGCAAGCCGAGAGCAGAAACGCACATAGTATCTTACATCACCATCGTCAATAAAACCACCCCGTACTTAACTTCACCACCGCCACGGCTACCTTCATAACAATCTGACAACCATAGCAACCAGTATAATGGTGAGAGCCGCCACAGGCAGCCAACACCGACCTCCCTGGGCGGGAGATATGGGTGTGGCAGTATCCGCCCCCTTTTCATAAATTTCCCCCCCAAACAGGGGTGGCACCATGATGGATGCATGTGGCACGTGGAAGCATGGCGCGTGAGGGCATACTCACTGTTGAATCATCACTTCTCAGGAATAATGACTGTTGGTCCCCCCCTGGTGCCCATTGTCTTTTATTATAATGCTTCTCCCGGAGCTCGTACTTCGCTTCTTACACAAGAACACCTTGCGCCTCAGATTTGGTTCTTGGGCCCCGAACTACCACAACAACGGCTCCCGCCTGATACTTCCTAACAGTTTATTTAGAATCGCGCTCTCGCGCGGGACGTCCTCACAAGTCAACCAGGAATCGTGCTCTCGCGTTGTACTGCCTCGCAATCAAATGAACCGCCGTGCCCTTGACACTCAGGAACCACTCTCTGGTTCTGGATTTCCTCACGATGTACTTGGGAATCGCGCTGTCACTCGAGACTTCCCCGCGATGCATGCAAAACTGACGCTTCGGCGACCCGCTCGCTCGACTCGGCCGTCTGCCGTTTTAGGGGCTGCGCCAACAACACGTGGCAGGTAAGGAAACTATCTCCCAAGGGGGTATCACCGAAAATGAAAAGGGCGGGTGTCGAGGGTTTGATGGGGATATGCACGTTCAACGACTTGCGAGCATATGAGAATTCAATGTTCATAGTGTTATTGTTGTTATTGTCGCGGCTGCTGCTGTTGTTGTTGCTCTTGCTGCTGTTGATGCTGATGTTGATGTTGTTGTTGTTGTTGTTGTTGTTGTTGTTGTTGTCGTTGTTGTTGATGTTGATGTTGATGTTGTTGTTGTTGTTGTGAAATCCCCACTACGCAAACATAAGTATGGTTGATCCCCCTCCGGTGACCATTGTGCTTTTTCAATTGAAGTGCTTTCCCCGGGGGCTCGCACCCTGTTTTTCATCAGGGGAAATCGCTACGGTCGTGTTGTTGGCCGCCAGATTACAACAACTAGACTTCCTGACAATTTAGCCAGAAACCCCGCTCCCGCCTGAGACTTCCTCGCATTGTACTCAGGAATCGCGTTCTCGCTTGCGCATTTCTTTCACTTTATTCAGGAATCGCTTTCTCGGCGCTCTGGAGTCGTGCTCTCGCTGGAGACCTGCTTGCAATTTACGCAAGAATCGGACTCTTGCGTGAACGTGTCCCGGGATTTACTCAAGCGCTGCGCTCCCGACACTCAGGCACCCAGGAGTCGCGTTCAGGCTCATGACTCCCTCACAACATATTTAGGAATCGGGATCTCGCTGCCCTTCGTGGCCCCGTTGCAGCCCTTCGGGGTCCCCTCGCTGCCCTTCGTGGCCCCGTTGCAGCCCTTGGTGGCCCCCTCGCGGCCCTTCGTGGGTGGCACCGTTGCAGCCATTGGTGGCCCCCTCGCTGTCCTTAGTCCCCGTTGCAGCCCTTCGTGGCCCCCTCGCTGCCCTTCGTGGCCCCGTTGCAGCCCTTGATGGCCCCCTCGCTGCCCTTGGTGGCCCCGTTGTAGCCCTTCGTGGCTCCCTGGCTGCCCTTCGTTCCTTCGTGGCCCCCTTGCTGCCCTTCGTGGCCCCGTTGCGCTCCTTCGTGGCCCCCTCGCTGCTCTTCGTGGCCTTGCTGCAGCCCCTGGTGGTCCCCTCGCTGCCCTTCGTGGCCCCATGTCTGCCCTTCGTGGCCCCCGCTCGTTCGCCCCCGTCGTGGCCCCATATGCATTCGCTTCGTGGCCCCGTTGTAGCCCTTCGTGGCCCCCTTGCTGCCCTTCGTGGCCCCGTTGCTGCCCTCTGTGGCCCCGTCCTTGCCCTCTGCGGCCCAATCTGCGTATGCCTTTCGTGGCCCCCGCTCGTGCGCGCCCGTCGTGGCCCCATATGCATGCCCTTCGTGGCCCTGCTGTCGCCCTTTGTGGTCCCCTCGCTGCCCTACGTGGTCCCGTTGCTACCCTCGAGGGCCACGTCGTTGTCCTCTGTGGCCCCGCATTATCTGCTCTTCGTGCCCCCCGCTCGTTCGCGCCCTTCGTCGCCCCAGACGCATGCCTTTCCGTTGCCCCGCCGTCGCCCTTCGTGGCCCCCTTCCTGCCCTTCGTGGCCCCTCTGTTGCTCTCGCTCTCGCTTTCGCTCGTCGTCGTCGTCGTCGTCGTCGTCGTCGTCGTCGTCGTCGTCGTTGTCGGTCCCCTGTTCGTCCCTCTTGGTGTCGGGCTGCCGCCGATCAGCGCTGCCGCTGGCCAGGCCGACGGTCCGCGGCTGCCCCGCCGCTTGCCGGGGCCCCGCCAGCAGGGAAGACAGATATCCCTCCCAAGCAGGGCACGATCGAAGACGAAAAGGGCGGGTATCGAGGGTTTGGGAAAAACGCGTTGACTGACACTCGAACAAATAAGAGCAAACAGTCTTACACTGATTGTTGTTGTTGTTGTTGTTGTTGTTGTTGTTGTTGTTGTTGTTGTTGTTGAACTTTCTTTCACTCCTGGTTAAAAAAACATAATATTATAAATCCCCCTTACCGGTGCATTTTTTCTAAATCAAAGTGTGCCCCTCGACGCTCGCACCTTGTTTTTTGACAGGGGAAATCTTGGTGCTCTCACACTGTGCCCCTGGCCCCCCAGATTACAACAACAACGGCTCCCGCCTGATACTTCCTCCAAATTTACTCAGGACCCCCGCTGCCGCCTGAGACTTCCTCAGTATTTACTCAGGATCGGTGCTCCCGCTTGTGACTTCCTCGCAATTTAATCAGGACCCCCGCTCCCATCTGAGACTTCCTTACAATTTACTCAGGAACGGCGCTCCCGCTTGAGACTTCTTCGTAATTGAATCAAACCTTCTTCTCAATTTAGTCAACACCCCCGCTCCTGCCAGAAAACCCCTTCACATTTTATTCAGGAATTGCGCTCTCGCCTGTGACTTCCATGCAATTCATTCAGACATGGCGCTTTCGACGCTCAGGAAACACGCTGCGCCAAGGACGCCGTCACAATTTACTTAGGAACCGCGCTCTCGCCATACGCAGGCATCTCGCTTGAATGTCCCACCCGCCCGACCCGCCCGTCAGGGGATCGCCCGCCCGTCGTGGGCTCCCGCCCGAGACTTCCTTCAGGAACGGCGCTTTCGCCTAGGACTTCCTCGAACTTTCACGCTCTCACCTTCCTGCTCCTCCTCCCTCTCCCTCCTCCCTCCTCCCTCCTCTCCCCCCTTCTCTCTCCCTCCTCTCTTCCCTCATCCTTATGCCTCTCTGCCCTATCCCCTCTCTCTCCTCTCTCCCCTCCCTTCTCCCTCCCCTCTCCTGCCTCCTCCCTCCCTCCTTCTTTTTATCTCTCTCGCCCCTCTCTCTTTCTCTTTCTCTACCTCTCTTATTTTTTTTTCCTTCTTTCTCTCTCTCTCTCTCTGTGTCTGCCTCTAATCAACCGCCCCCCTCTTCGCTCCTTCTCTCCTGGCGTTTCCCCTCTTCCTTCGTCCCCCCCACCCTTCCTCCCACTCTCCCTCGTTCTCCCCCTCATTCTTTTGCAAGGCCCACACCAATTCCAATGGCGGGCACATGTACGCCCAAGAAAGATTGTCCGCCCGTTCAGCTTTGCCCGCCTGGTTAAGTCCGCCGCCCCCCGCAAAGAGAATTAATCCCCCCAAAGGGGGTGTGATCGAAGACAACAAGGGCGGGTATCGAGGGTGTGCAGAACTCGTTTTTAATGACACACGGGCAAGTAAGAGCGAACAGTCTTATAATGATTGCTGTTGTTGTTGTCGTTGTTGTTGTTGTTGTTGTTGTTGTTGTTGTTGTTGTTGTTGTTGTTGTTGTTTTTGTTGTTGTTGTTGTTGTTGTTGGTGTTGGTGTTGGTGTTGTTGTTGTTGTTGTTGTTGTTGTTGTTGTTGTTGTTGTTGTTGTTGTTGTTGTTGTTGTTGTTGTTGTTGTTGTTGTTTTGTTGTTGTTGTTGTTTTGTTGTTGATGTTGAATGCTCATTTCTGAAAAATAAATATTGTTGATCCCCCCCGCCAGGTGCACAATGCATTTTTCAATCGACATGCCCTTCCCGGGGCTCGCACTCTGTTTTTTAGGTACGCACGCAGGCTGCAGCAGGCAGAGGGCGTCCCTGCCGCTGGCTGCTGCTGCTGCTGCTGCTCAGCTGCTCCGCCTTTTCTGCTTCCGCCGTCTGCTCCAACTCCTCAGTTCCAAGCAGGAGGCTCCTCCTCCTCCTCCTCCTCCTCCTCCTCCTCCTCCTCCTCCTCCTCCTCCTCCTCCCCTCTTGCGTTGGGCAAACTTTGAGCGAAGCTCGTAGCGTCGCCTCCTCCTCCTCCTCGTCCTCCTCCCTCCACTTCCTCCTCCTCCTCCCTGCTCCTCCCTGCTCCTCCTCCTCCTCCTCCTTTTCCTCCTCCTTTTCCTCCTCCTTTTCCTCCTCCCTGCTGCTGCTCCTCCTCCCTTCCAGCGCCCCCCCCCCGCCCGCGAGGCGCGCGGTCCCGTCTTCCGACGACAGCGGGCGCCACCACCCGGATCCCCCACGCCGAGCAACCGCCCGCACCGCCGGCCGGCGCGCGAGCGCGCCGCGAGAGGCGCCTACCGGCGGCCGCCCCGCCCCCTGCCGACGGGGGAGCGACACGCGGGGCCCCCCCAGCCAGAGATCCGAGGCTCCAAAACAAAAACAGGCGCGGCCAGCGGTTTGGGGCTGTCTTCGGCCTCCAGGGGTGCCCCCGGGACCATCTCACAAGCGACTCGGGATGGCGAGCCGGCCTCGAACAAACTGGAGCGCTGGACGTCTAGGCAGACGGTGTGATGACCACACCGCGTGGTGAGCCAGTTGGGATTAGGGGTCACCGCACGGTTCTGGGAATCTCGGGTCGTTCTCCGAGGACGCCTCGGGCGAATGGGGGCCCCGGAGGTCCCCAAGACCGTGCGGTGACGGACCGCGCGGTGAGGTCTCTTGAGACTTCGAGGTCGCCGCGCGGTCCGTCACCAAACGGTCCTGGGACCCCCGAAACAAGGGGGGTCCAGCTCGGGGAGAGGGGGGACGCACCGAGCGATGCCTCGCCCCCCCCCCCGCCCCCCTGGTGAGCCAGCTCCAGAAGAAGAGACACGGCATGAACACAAATTCTCGCATTCTCGGTAACGGCCAAGCGGCATGAAAACGAGGCACACGGCATGAACACAAGTAACGGTCTGCGCGGATTTCTTGGATCGGCGCTGGACCCCCCTCCCTGGCGCGCCGAGCGCGCTAGGGGCGGCCCCGCAGGTGCCGCCAGGAGGGCTCAAGGCCGATCCACGAAATCCGCGTGGACTTCCGAGAAATTATGCTTATGCATTTTTTTTGTTTTTCGAAGCTCTCCCCCCTGAGGGACAATGAACGATGTGGGGAGACTGGCTCAGGGGAGAATCACAGAGCTGGAATCTACAACGCATCGCCGATAGATCGGCGTCACGCCCCCGATAACGAACCCGCGCATTACTGGCTGGGGTCGGGCCCGTACAGGCAATGGGCGAGTGGGGCCGATGCGTTTTCGCTCTGAGCCCGTCCCCCCCTAGCGTTGCCCCTGATCCCGATCCGACGTGACAACAAAAAGACAACATCGTGCAAATCACGACCAGAGCCCTAGACCTTATCTTTCTGCGCCATGTTTCGAGCTGGATCGATCCGTGAGGGCCCCGGGACTCGAAACAGGGCAAAATCGCCCGCTGCGAAAAAATGCGGCGCCAGGGTCTGAGGGCTTTTCGTTCTTCGAAGCGCTCCCCCCCTCTGTCGCTGACCCCCCCTGAGAGCATCCCCCTGAGCACACTCCCCCCAATGATCCCCCCTGGGCCTATCCGCTCCCCAGTGATCCTCGTCGTCTGGTTTTCGGACCATAGCTCGGGTCTCAGGCGGCCGTTCGGAACGAGCCAAGCACGCCCGGAAGTTCCCGGGCGAGGCGCGGCCGCCCTGGAACGCACCCCCAGGCTGGGCCGCCGCCGAGAACTGACGAGGACGCCCGAAAACCTCTGACCTCGCCTCCGGGAAAGTAGCCCACCGCTTGTCGAGAGGCCTCCCGGATGGCGTCGGAGCAGATGGGGTCGGAGGATCGCGCCGCATCGCCGGTGCATCGGCGCCGTCGGCGTGGAGAGAATCGGGCTCCACGTCGAGCCGCATCGCCGATGCACCAGCGATGCGGCGCGGTCCTCCGACCCCATCTACTCGGACGCCGTTTGAGCGACCAAAGTGAACGGGTCTTGCGCGAGATTGCGTAGCGACCTGACGCTGCGGCTTACGCGGGCCACCAGCGGGGCAGACGGAGGGGAGAAGAGGGCGCCTACGCGCGACCTTGCTCGGGCAGCTTGCGCGCGAATGTCGGGCACATTCCGTCGCTCACCTGGGAGGCCTAGACGTAGCTCGGGCATGTCCCCCTACAGGCAGACTCTGGAGGAAACATAACAGTAGCCAAAAACCATTCACAAGTGGTCAAGCATAGCCGGACCATCCTCCTCAGGCTGTTTTTTGGGACTATTTTTTTTTGATATTCCTCCTGTGCAGGGACGAGCCCGACTTCAGCCGAGACCGCCGCTGCCCCCCCCGCCGACTGTCCCAGCTGGCCTCACCACAGCCCCGAGTGGTCCAAGGGCGGTCCCAACGCCCCCGCTCCGAGGCGCGGAGGGGCGTCGAGACCGCCCCGGGGCCCCTCGAGGGGCCTGCGGAGGCCAGCGGGGACCACCTGGGGGGGGGGACCTGCGGAGGCCAGCGGGGACTGCCTCGTCGGGGGGCTGTCGGTGCGCAGCATGGCCCTCCCCGTGGGCGGCGCGCACACAGAAGGGGGGGGGCAGTGGGGGGGAGGGGGGGGGGGGAAGGCCTCCCAGAAGGAGGCCGCTTCCTCGAAGGCCCCCTCGGGCCTGCAGAAGTGCAGAGAGAAGGCCCACGCCCTCCGAGAAGCAGGGGTGCTCCTCCGAGAAGCCTTCCCCCGTCCCCCCTGCCCTCCTCTGCGCGTGGCTAGAGGCCTCCTAGATGGGGTCCGAGTAGATGGGGTCGGTGGATCTCACCGCATCGCCGATACATCGGCGATGCATCGCCGATGGATCGGCGATGCATCGGCCATGCACTGGCGACGTCAAGGGTGCATCGGCGACGCCGGCGTGGAGGAGATCGGGCTCCACGTCGAGCCGCATCGCCGCTGCATCGGCGGTGCGGCGCGATCCTCCGACCCCGTCTCCTCGGACCCCATCTGGGAGGCCCAGAGTGGCGGGTCCCCTGTCGCTCGCCCCCCCGCCGACCTGCCGCCGCGGCCACCGCCGCCCTTCGCCCGGATGCCCGTGACGAGCTCGGCCTCCCGGGCGGTCTCGGCGCACAGCTGCCGCAGCTCCGCCAGCGGCCCCCCCGCGGCCTGCGGCGGCGCCGCCTCGGCCCCCGCCCCCCCGGCGGCACGGAGCGCTTGCGAGGGAGGGCAGGTCGGGGTCGGCCACGAGGGGGGCGTCCAAGAGGGGGGGCGCAGATCGTGGCCAGCGGCAGGTGCGCGGCCCAGCGGTGGGCCAGGGAACGCATTGAAAGAAGGAGCGGGGCCATGAAATCTGGGGAGATATCATGGCCCCCGCCAAGGTATCCCCCCCCAGTCCTCACCCCCCTCTTTGCCGCCCCCGAGCAGAGAGTGGCTACTGTGAGTCGGCGGCGAGCGACGGGGGGGAAGCGAGAAGGAGAAGGCCTTCTCAGGAGACGGCGGGGCTCTTCAGATGGCATCGGGCCTTCTGAGAAGTTTTCGGTGTCGACGGGGGAGGCTTCAAAACCTTCAGAGGAGGCCGGGGGACTTCCGAGCCTTCTCCTTCTCACTTCCCCCCTGGGCTCGCCGCCGAGTGAGGGCCTTAACCGACCTCGATCTCATACCTCGGTCCGACCGTATGACCGCCGCCCTCCCAAGGGTCCCGAGTCAACTGGGCACAGGTCCTCGACGAACGCCCGCGCCGCACTCGGGCCACCAGTACCTTCGCGCGTCACGCCCCGCGGCGCGCGATTGTCCCCGCGCGCCCCTTCGCGCCCTTGCGCCGCCCAGGGGGGTGTACCCGGACAGCCGGCGCCTGGAAGAAATCGAGACGGAGGCTTTTCCTCGTTTCTTGGCCTCTCGGGGGGGACGACAGGGCAGGACAGCCCAGGGCAGGTTAGCGAGTCAGCTCCCGTAGCTGGCCTTCCAGGCGCCTCCTGGCAACGGCAGGCGCCCATGTGTCGAGGAACGGGCCCGGCGGCGGGGCGGAAACGAGCTGCGTGCAGCAGATTTTGCACCCCCCCCCTCTCCCTGTCCCACCCTTTCGTGCGGCCCGGGCCTCGGGACCGTCAATAAACGACTCGAGATGGGAAACTCTGGTCCCTGGGCAGTGGTCGAGAGGTCGGGGCCCGCGTCTCGAGAAAGCCGGGACGCCAGATGCCTGGGTGTGAAATGCGGTCAAGGACTTTTGCTCGGCGTGTCGCGGCGGCGGCCCTGGAAACAGCTTGGGACGTTGAGGAGTTGGAAGTGGGACGTGGTCAGCGTGTCGCGCCGAAGCGTGTTGAGCCAGAACCGGCGCCGCGACAAAATATGCCAGCGTTCCAGACCGAAACTTCTTCTGCCATCCATGGGGCGCCTGTCCCAAGGCGGCTGGGAAGCTGGTGCAGCTTCCGCGCTGCCACCAGGACCCCCCAATAATAAGGAACGAAGGGGCTGTTCTGGCCACGGCTAGCCTAGGCCCCGAACACGTTGCCCCGACCCAAATCTAAAGAACGGCCCGAATATCAGAGACCCCCTCCTGAGCCCAAAGTGCTCCTCGTTGCAGCGTCTTGACTGTGACCCTGCGGCGGCAGGAGAGGGTATCAACTTTTTAACCGGCCTGGGACAGGCGCACCCAGATTGCGGAACAGTTTGCGGTCGGGAGCTTTTGATGAGCGTGTCGCGGCGGCGGCCTGGGCGACGCGCTATGCCCTGCGAGTGGTCGCTTTGCTCCGCGGGCCAGGAGGCTCGGAAGGGCTCCGGACGCTGACGCTTATGGGACTGGGGAGGTGGATGCTTAGCGTGCCGCGCCGAAGCGTGGTGGGCCGGAACTGGCGAAGCGACACGCTACCGAATACTGCCCTTGTCCCGACGACATGCCATGGTCGGCGGTGGACAGACCTCCCTTCAGTACACCTCCCCTTCGTGAGAACGGCCTGGGACCGAAACCCACGGACCCGGACCCGCAAAAAAATGACGGCCGCGACGCCCCCTCGCGAAGCGAAAACGGCCCATTCCTTCATCGACGTGTCAGGCCTGCCCACCCCCGACATGGCCAATAGCAGCTCTCCGCCCGCTGCGGCCTCGGCCTCGGCCCCGTCGCCCTCGGCGCCCGCGTCGGCCTCCGACGCCTCCACGCACGGCGTGCACCGCCGCCTCTCCGGGGGCCGCGTGCGCATCTTCCGCGAGAAGTGCGGCGCGGCCAGCACCCGGTGGCAGGCCGTGCAGAACTCGGCGCCCGCGGGCGGGGCCTCCAACGGAGCCATATGGCCGCGCGGAGATCTCACGGCGGCCCTCCCGCCCGGCCGCGGGAGCCCGCTCCGGGTCGGTCTCCGGGCCCCTCCCCTGGGGTCCACCCTGGCCCGCTCGTCGGCGCGGACCTCGCCCCGTGGCGACGAGGGTCGGGAGGGGAGGAAGCACACAGACACAAACCAGTCGTCGACTCCCAAGAGCATAGGGGAAGTGGGGGGGAAGACGAGAGCCCAGAACATATGGGAACACACGGAAGTTCCTGGGAGTTGTGTCTGTTTGTTCGTGCGTCCCTGGGCCCCTTTGGCATGGCCTCCGGGAGGCCCAGGCGGAAGACGAAACACGCCGGGGATCGGCGGTGGACAAACCTCCCTTTAGTAAACCTCCCCTTAGTGAAAACGGCTGAAAATCTAAATTGATAAGCTGTGACCCGCAACCATTTCGGCTGTGACGATTTTTCGCGAACCGAAAACGGCCAATTCCTTAATCGACGTGTCAGGGTAGGAGGCTTGTCTACCCCCGATGGGAGGGCCATCCCGCAGTCTCGACCGGCCCCCCTGCGAGCCTCGAAGACGACGCTCGCGGGCAGCTCGGCGGCCTTCAGCATCGCCTCGGGGGAGCGGCTCCAGGGGGGGGGGACGACGGGCTCTCCGGGGAGGGGGGAGCATCGAACTCGAAGCGTTAAGTCGGGCGTGTCCCTCTACAGGAGGAGTATTAAAAAATAGCCATAGATAATCGGTCTAACTTTTAAAAGCAATAATGCTTTTTACCATTTTTGATTTTTTGTGGGTATTTTTCTATTTCGTCCAAAATCCCCCTGTAGGGGGAGACAGGCCCGACTTAATCGAAGCGGCGACGGATCGGCGACAGGCCCCCGACAGCAAGTCTCCGCGCGCGGGCGGCGGGCGGGGCGGCCCCAGCGGGCCCCCGTCGGCGATGACCGGGCGCTCGCGGGGCGATGCATCCCTCCCTGGGCCTATCCTCGGGTCGGGCATGCCCTCCTGCAGGCGGGTTTTGGACGAAAGCTGCACAATAGTTCTAAGTAGTCAAAAATCGATTCGAAAGATCGTTTCCATTTTGGATATTCCTCCTGTAGAGGGACACGCCCGACTCAAGCCTGTTCCCCCCCTATCGCTGCCCCTGACCTGAGTGTCCTCCATGCTTGCGCTCCCGCAGGCGGCGCCCGCCACCTCCACCACGCGCCACCCCAGCCTGACGCCCGCCCTGGCCGCGGGCTTGCCGTCCGACACCTTCACCACGAGGTAGCCGGCGCCCTCGGCCTTCGAGGGCGTCATGCCGAACGGCCTTTCGCCGAGCGAGACCTCCACGCGCTCCGGCGGCCCCATTGCCGCCTCCGCCTCGGCGATCGACTCCTCGCGCTGCTCTCGCTTCGCCTGTGCCTCGGCGCGCTCGGTGGCCTCCTTCTCCTCCGTGCACCGCTTGCAGATGCCGCTGAGATACACAACCTGCTGTATCTCAGGGCCCTGGCGGATGTCCTTGTCTGGGATGGTTCGGAGGGACTCGAGGGCCTTCTCCACCTGCTTTTTGGAGAACTCCGAGGCGGGGAGGCGCTTGCGGCCACAGCTCGAGCAACTGAAGTCGCCAGCCGACCTCTGCCAATCCGTCCCGAGCTCGCTGGAGGTCGCCATCTTCGAGGCGATATCACACCGCTCGAGCCAACATGTTTACGGATGCGCGCGCAGGACCGGTATGGTGTCTTTGCCAGGGGGCAATTCTGCTTCTCTTTCTGCTGCGCTCGGGGCGCTGCCAGCCCGAGTATGGCACGTGGCCGCGGGGTAGCAGCCGAGCCAATAGCCTCAAGCCCCAGCGGGCAGCTTGCACAGATCCGTACGTCCGCTGTCCCCCCCCCCCTTGCCATCGCTTGGACGTCCATTCCCCGTGCATCTTTCCATGTCGCGCGCGCGTATTTTGCGCAGGATGATCCAGGATGCTCCTCGATGGCCCTCGCTGAGAAAAGATGCACACGTCCGAACGATGCCAAGCCCCTCCTCTGCAAGGAGGAATGCCCCCACCCCGTCCCCGCGTGCCTCCGAGGCAGAGGCGGAGCATGCGGAGCTGACGCGGCACCGCGTGGGCACGGCACGACACGCGGGCGACGGCACAGCACGGCACACGGGCGCGGCACACCTTTCTCCGCCTTCTGGACCTCGGCCACGGTAGCGCGCGCGCACGGCATGGGGCACGGCACCCGTCGCATCCTGGAGCTCGGGCGCGGCACGGCCTGGCACGGCCTGGCACCGCACGCGGGCACTGCACGGCACGCCACGCGCCCGGCACACTTTTTCGAACTTCCAGGGGCACGACCCAGGACGCGCACGGCACGGCTCGCGGGTACGGCCAGGCACTCGGGCGGCACGCGTGTCGCACCCTACGAACTCAGAGACCGGTTACATCACGGACCCCTGTCGCATTCGCGGTTCAGAGAGAAAGGAGGAACGACGCCTCCCCTCGATCCAGGAGGGCTTGGGTGAACGAGGAGCGCTAGAGGCACAACCATGGAAGGGCCCGAGGAACAGCGAGAGCCCGTTCCGAACCCAAACTGCGCCTTACTTACTTCGGCGCATTGGCTGTATTTCGACTGCTGGGGCAACCGTGGGACGTCCGCGTGGCCTCTGCGGGACGAGGGGCGTGTCCAGAGGCCTCATGGAAGGGGGGTCTGAGTAGATGGGGGCGGAGGATCTCACCACATCGCCGATGCATCCGCCATGCACTGGCGACGTCGGCGATGCATCGGCGACGTCGGCATGGAGAGAATTGGGTCCCACATCGAGCCGCATCGCTGATGCATCGCCGCTGCATCGGCGATGTGGCGCGATCCTCCGACCCCATCTACTCCGACACCATCTAGGAGGAGAGGAGGAGGAGGAAGAGGAGGAGGAGGAGGAGAGGAGGAGGAGGAGGAGAGGAGGAGGAGGAGGAGGAGGAGGGAGGAGGAGGAGGAGGAGGAGGAGGAGGAGGAGGAGGAGGAGGAGGAGGAGGATGGAGGAGGAGCCTAGAATGTCGAGGCTTGGCTGCCTCCAGGCCACCTGCCGGGCCAACGCCCCCGACCCACGCCGCGAAAGCATCGAGGCTCGTCCCCGCCACCTGCCCCCGGGGCACTGCGAGGGCTCGCGGGACGACGAGACCTGGCCAGCGTCTCGGGGCTCGGGGTGCCCTGGGCTTTCGCAAGGCGAAAAAAAGGAGGAAGCCAGGGCGAGGATATAACGTCGGGTGAGGATTCACATCGGGGATCTCTGAGACCCGGCGGCTCTGGAGGCCGTCTCGGGCGCCGCGGCCTCCTCGGAGCGTTCCCCGGGACGATCTGAGAGCGTTCCCGGGAACGCTCTGGAACGGACTTCTCCTCTTCTCGGCCCGCCCGCAAACAAAAACAGTCTCGGGCTGGGCTCGCGCGGCGCGTTGCTGCTGGCGCCTCTGGACCCCCCCCCAAAAAACTCTCGTCGAGCCCTGGCTGCTGGAAGGTGCCGCGACCCTTCCCGAGACCAAGTCTCGGGCGAAAACGCCCGGCATGGCCCTACTGACACGCTGCTGGGTGCGACAGGGAGGAGTGACTGCTAAGGAAGAGGGGTGGAGTAGGAGGGGCCAGGGGAGGAGCGGGGAGGAGCACTGCTCCTATAGGCCCGGATCTCCTCCCTAGAACTGGCGAGGAGCAGGGGGAGGAGCAGGGGGCAGGAGGAGCAGGGGGAGGAGCAGGCCTGGGCCCGGATCTCCCCCCCCCCCCTCGCCCCTGGACGGGGCCTGGGAGCCAGCCCGCCCACGGCGAATGCTCCGCGGGGCGGCGGGGAGGCGGAGCCGTGCCCCTCGCGACCTACTGTGGTGGATCCGTTTTAAGCAACCCTTTCCCCGGCCCGTGACAGGGGCCACGGCATGCAGGCACGGGCACTGCATCACGACATGGGCACATCGAGTAGCACACCGCCCTGCCAGCGGGTGCCCCGCGGGCCTGTTGCAGGCCACGAGGGGCCCGAGGACACTCCGGGACTCGCTGAGGAACTCTTGAACAGCTTACGCAGTGGACGGTCAACGAGAGACGTGGTGCCCCCATAGGTAGGTCTTCTGGCGCCTCCTAGAAGCCTCTGGGGCCTTCAAGACACCGCTTATACAGTGCAGGCCAGTCCACAAGAAACCTACCACAAGAAACCAACCCTGAGACCCCAGGACGTCAAAGGATTCTTGGTGTGGGGACGTCGCGGTTTCCACTGCAAAACCATCGAAACCCAAGAAACCCAGGGCACCCTGGAGGTAAGCAGGGTGTTTCTTGCCATGGGTCTCCACTGTTAGCCTTCTCGAACCTCTGAGGATCCTCCGCTCCCCATAGAAGACCTCCTCCTCTTTCTCCTCTGCAGGCCTCCCGCCTAGTTCCCGGACGCTGCCGAGCGACGACGACGACGGCGGCGACGACGACGACGACGACGACGACGACGACGACCATGTCTGTACCGACGACGACGACGACGACGACGACCACGGCGGCGGCGACGACGGCGACGGCGGCGTCGACAGCGACGGCGGCGACCTCGACCACGGCGACGGCGCTGCCGACCACGGCGGTGCCGCCGACGACGACGGCGAGCGGCAGCGCCGCCGCGGAGGCCTTACTCGTCCGAGGCGTCCTCCCACGAGTCCAGCACGGGCTCCGCCGCCGCCGCCGCCGCCGCACGCGCCGCCCCGGGTCCCGCCTCTGTGGGGGCGGGGGGCGGGGGGCGGAGCTCGCGGCCAGGCACGCGTTTTCTTGCAACTTTGAGCTCCACTCGCTCCGTCTGGCACCAGGCCGGCCGGCTGGTGAGGGATATCCTTCGACCCTGAACCATCGCGGCTTTCCGATAGTAGACAGATCGTTCGATCTCGGGCCACGTGCGGCGTTCAATCGTGAACGACCGCGCTGAGGTCGCTGGCGCGTCAACGTGGCGCGAACGTGTGGCACCCGACTCATGCGGGGACAAAATCACTCAACATCGAATCGAGCCATCGGATCGAATCGGAATGTGCGTCAGATCGGGCTGCACCGGTGCGGAATCCGAATCGAATCGGATCGGCGCCGCCAGGAGGCACACACCGCGCCATGCAAACACTGGGCCGCGTGGGATATCGCCGGAGCACCGGAACTGGAACCGCATCGGCCCGGGCCGGCCGAAACCGTCCGAACTCGATGCCGCATTGGGCGGAAGGGGGGGGGGGGAAGGGGGGGTCTGGCCCCGGACCTCTGCTTAGTGCGGCTGTTTGGAATCGTGGCCCTCTGGGGGAGACCTTGCCTGCTCGAAACAGGCGCTAAAACACAGCCAAGATCTGATTACTCCAGGGTGGGGTGGGGGGGTGCGAGGGCAAGCGCCGAGCGGCAAAACAAGGAATAGAAAAACGATCACCATCGGATCGATCGGATCGACGTGGGCCCTCGGCACTCGAGGAGGAGGAGGAGGAGGAGGAGGAGGAGGAGGAGGAGGAGGAGGAGGAGGAGGAGGAGGAGGAGGAAAAGGAGGAGGAAATTTCCAAGCCCCCCGGCCTTCCGAGGAGCCCCCCCGGCCTTCCGGCCTTCCGAGGAGCTTTCCAAAGCCTTCCCCGAGGACCCAAGCACCCTCTCAGAGGGCGCGAGGCCTTCTGGGAAGCCCCGCCGCCTTCTGGGAAGGCCTTCTCCTCCTCGCTCCCCCCCCCCCCCCCGGCTCGCCGCCGACCAACGGGCCCCCGAGGCCGACGTCGGGGAGAGCCGCGCCTGGGACCGAAGCGGAAGCACGCCGTCGGAGCTCCGAGAGGCCGAGAGGAGGGCCCGCGGCGTGCACCGCCGGAGGGGCTCGGGGCCGGGGGGGGGGGGGGGGCGGCCTTCCGAGGAGGAGGAGGAGGAGGAGGAGGAGAGGAGGAGGAGGAGGAGGAGGTGGAGGAGGAGGAGGAGGAGGAGGAGGAGGAGGAGGAGGAGGAGGAGGAGGAGGAGGAGGAGGAGGTAAGACGAAGCCAGGACGAGGATAACATCGGGTACAGTGGAGGCCCGACCACAAGAAACCTTCCACAAGAAACCCAACCCTGAGACCCCAGGACGTCCAAGGATTCTTGGTGTGGGAACGTCGCAGTTTCCACTGCAAAACCATTGAAACCCAAGAAACCCAGGGCACCCTGGAGGCAAGCAGGGTTCGGGCGCCGCGGCCTTCTCAGAGCGTTCCCCGGAACGCTCTGAGAGCGTTCTGGGGAACGCTTTGGAACGGGTTTATCCTCGTTCTAGCCCCGTCCGAGAAGGGCTCTCTCGGAAGGCAGGAGGGCCTAGAGAGGCTCGGAGGCTCCTGCGACAGATCCGTGTCGTGACGCCTTCGGCGTTGGCTTCTGATGGCTTCTGACACCACGGGACCCTGAAAGGTTGTGCGTTTCCGAAACTTCAGATCGTCCAACATCGACCGATTCT